GAGCCCGCAGCAGACGGGGAGCTGGGCTCGGGTCTGCTGCAGCAGCTGCTGCCTCCTGCCGGGGACAGGGGGCTGTGGACCCAGGTCCCTGGCCCCATAGTCCTGGCAGCTGGGATCTGCCTCCAGCAGGGCTGGGGGAGCAGCTGTGGACTAGGGATACCAGCAGGGCTGAGAGGTTGTAGGGGCACCAGCAGGGCTGGCAGCGGTGGGGGGCAGGGCAGGGCAGGGTAGTGAGCAGCACCAGCGGAGCCAGGGAGCTTTGGGGAGAGAATGACGGGCATCAGTGGGGCTGTAGGGGGGGCTTTAATTTTAATCACTGATTTGGGGGGTTTTATCAGAGAATTTGTGATTTTTTTTTTTTTAATTTAATTTTATTTTTTTTAATTATTTTTTTTATTGGGGGAAACCAGGATCCCTGGAGATTAGGTTTTAAATAGCACTTGATACGTTTTAAATTCATCTGCTTATGAAAGAGAAAGTGAATGTATTTTGAGATGTTTTTCTTACTGAAATAATGCTTTGTATTGTGTATATTTAGGTGGAAGTCAGTCATCTGAAGGCTAGACAGAATGCACTACAAGAACAATTGCAAAAGTTACAGACAGCTGCTCAGGCAGCACAGCTAGGAATTGTGCCACCAACCACTACATCAGCTTCCTTTGTTCCTGTGGTTAGACATCATTCTTCAGGTTTTCAAGGAGATGACATGGATTTTGGAGATGTAATTTGGTCCCAGCAAGAAATAAACAGATTGTCCAATGAAGTTTCTAGACTTGAATCTGAGGTTGATCACTGGAAACAGATTGCCCAGGTGGGTAATTTTCACCTGTATTTAGGACTTTCAACAAATTGAAGACTCTTTGAGCCAGCCACATGAAAGCACATATAAAAGCAAAATGACTTGATGGACTGACCACAGGACTAATTGCTAGGAACTAAAGAGCTCTTATCCTTGTCTTGCAACCATGCAAGTCTGGAGACTCTACATCCACTATTCTTTGTGTAAAATTGCCTAGTTTCTACAGACCTAACTTATGGA